AAGAAACTTCGTATGTCATGACTTTGGCAGGCGGACTCTGTTCTACTATAAAGCCCATTTTCAGTCAGCTTGAGTGCTCTATTCCAAAACTCTTTTCTATGAGACTACACAAGAATACATAAGGATGTCTATTATGTAGACATTACATCTACGTAAGGATAAGAACAATAAAAAAAAAACTCTAGCAAAGAAAAAGAACTGTGACTTCCAGCTAAGGAACACCATGCGATGACAAGTTAACCCAGAAATTGTGCCCTTAGGAAGTTGTTTAGAAATCGGGTCACTTCAGATCTTTCCCCTTTGACTATAAAGTGAAATGCTGGCTCCTGTATTTTCATTTCCAGTAAGTGTGAGTGTCATGTTTACCTTGGAACTCTGTCAAATACCAAGATGCTCTGCTCCACAGTTCACAGTATTATACAGAGGATCAAATGGGATAAAAAGAGGCAAAATCTTTTTGTGCTATAACTGCTGCATGAGAGCAGGCAGCCTCTCTGGCTCACAGGAGAAAAGAGGACAGGTGCAATCGCAGTGTCACAGTCCGGCAAGGATTGCTCACCAACAACGGTCATAAAATTTTAGTGCTTTGAATGTTAATGAGCAGTATCCACAGTACCTTGAGTACCTTTGCTAAGAGATTAAAATTAACATACACTGTGAATTTAAAAGTCACACCTAGAGCCACTATCCTTTTTAACAAGCTGTTATTATAAAACCAGCCTCTAATATGAAACTCTTTTGTCACAATAAGCACATAAAGAGAATTTTATATATGACTAATCTGCTAAAATCACATTTTAGTAGAATTAGAAAGGCTTAGATCATTTCTACAGACCAGCTTCCTCCCCTCCCCCGCCTTTCTTACAACAGGAAAACTAAAGTAATAGTGGAACTCAGTCTAACCTGCAGTTTTCCTGACTCCTGGTCTACAGCTGTTTTCTTCTAAAAATTTATTTTAATAAAGTAATTCAAACATAAAGAGAAGCATAATAACAACATCCAGATTTTTAAGATGTTCATATCATATGCTTCAGCTTTTTTTTTAAAGTTTTATTTATGCATACAAGAACTGGAGTGTAAGCCAGAGATCGGGGGTGGGTGGGTGAGAGGATTCACCAGACAGAGTAGGGAGCTGAACAGGCAGATCCACTGAAATACACTGCTGAGGGGAGCAGCTGGCAAGGCAAGAGAGGTCTGCTGCGACATGTGGGTTGCTCTGTAGCTGTGGATAGAACTCTACTGTAGTGGCTGGCAGTATCTTGATAGCCCTGTCTTTAACCCCTGCACCACCAGGGAGGCCCTTCAGCTCTTTTTTTTAAAAAAATTATAATATAAATCAGATGATCCTGATTCCTCGATCCCATTCCCCTACCTCCCTCTCCAGAGATAACCAGCATACTGAGGTTGTGGCATTTCATCCTTCTTGTTCATGTTTTCATGCACTTACCAAACGACTATATATCCATAAACCACACCATGTTGTCACAGAAAGAGTTGGCCTTCAAAACAAGGAAGAGTCCTTCACTCTAGTATGTTTATAGGCAGTTTAAACTTCTGGGGTTTGGCTAAATATTGCAAAAAGAAACTAGGGCATGGCTTAAACTCTTTATAAATTATTACAGAAGGATCTAGTGAAGTGTCCTGTTGATGTAGATTTTGGAGTTAGTGGGTTTGAAGTGCAGGATCCTTGAGTTCACTCTGGGAAAGGTTTCGCCAGAGCTCCCCTTTCAGCAGCAGGCTGCGAGTTTCCCAGATGAGTTTCTCCATGAGACAGAGACATTGGTTATATTTAAAGAACAGGTTTATTAGGAAAAGGGAACAGAAGAATAAAGGACACTTGCATAAACACAAGCGGGCAGGAAGAGCTGCCCCAAAGGAACAGGTTTGCTAAGAAAGGCCTGCATGCTTGCAGGCGGGCGGCTTTGAGGAGAGCTGCCTCCGCTGTGGGAGATCAGTGAAGAGAAGCCCGGCATGGTACAGGTCACGGGCAGGCAGCAAGCTGCTGCCCTGCAGGGGGACAGAGAGCTGGCGAATAGAAGCACCTGCATAGTCACAGGTGGGCAAAAGGGCTGCTGCTCCGTGCCAGTGCGGAGACTGCACTAATATAGTCCTCTTCTCTTTGGGAGGGGTCACTCCTATGTGGAGTGGCCTGTTTGCTGCTGATTTTGGAGACCAGAGGTACACAGAGATTCCACAATGGGCCCAATCTCCGTATCTTCTCCTTCAGGTCTATGTTCCTGATACCCCCTACAGCAGTCTGGTACCTGCTTGGGTCTTATGCCCCATGATAAGGTACTGGAGCCTAAGGATCTTGATTTCCATAACTGGATTAATGTTACATTAATCCCCTCTACCCCCACCTCCAGCTCTTGGCATTTTGTGAGTCAGGTTTTAGTCTTGTGATGCCTCCTTTAGATTTTCTATTCTTTCCTCCATCACCATTATTATTTAAGAGTAAAAAAAGATCAGGCAAATTTAAAATGTTTAACATTTTTATTATTCTTCTCTGGTGTTTCATATTTGTGAACCACTTGTTTATAATGACTTAGTGTGACCTGTCACCCAACGATAGGGAAAGGTGTTATACCACCTTATACGCAACTTACCAAGTAAGAATAGTTTCTGCTTAAAGTCCAACTCAAAAGTTGTGATTTAGTGAATATGTCCTCCACCCCATCAAAATTAATTCTTTATGAGTGCCAAAGCCCTGTCGATACAAAAACAGACCAGACCCAGGTCCTGTCCAGACCTCAGCAATAATTACACAGCAGTGTTTGATAAATGCGCTAACAGAGGTATCCATAGAGGGTTAGTAGAGTCTAACTTTTCCTAGGGATACTGTAGAAGACCTTTCAGAGGAGGTAATGTTTGAGCTGCATCTTGTAGGATGAGTAGGAGTTCTTAAAACACAAGATGGAAATTCATTCCAGGTAGGGAGACGCTGAATGAGAGGGTACAAAGGATGGTAACATACTTGTGTTAGACAACTAAGAGGAGATATTGGAGGTAGAGAGATAAGTTAGAACGCTGGTAAGAATTCAAGCAAAAGATGACATGATTGCAGGCATGAGGTGAGAGGGGGAAGGATTTTAACAAAATTCAGGAGATAAATTTAGCAGAACTTGATGCTTGATTACATGGAGGAAAGAAAGAACATGGAGGAGTTGGAGATGACTCCCAAGGATTTGGCAAATGAGTGGGTAGTGAAGTCATTAACTAAAATAGGAAATACCACACACAAGATAAGAGCAGGTCTAAGAAAGGTGGGTTCAAGTTCCCTCTAAGGCATTTTGAGTTGGCAAAAGGCCTGCAAGAGGCCGTCAATGAGTTTCCTTTTCTAATCCAGAAATCACCCCTTCCTCTGAGCTGCATAGCATATGGTATACTTTTTCTGTATCACTTAAATCTGCTGTATTTATAAGTCTTTTCAAATGTATCCCTCCCTTAAATCATGGAGAAAAAGTACTAGGTCTCGATCATTTGTTCACAGCCCTTATTACAACCCCTTATTATATACAAAAGGCCTTCAGCTAAAGTTCGCATTTTTGAAAAGGCGGCTCCATCAGATAATACTCAGAAGCTGCCAGTTAACATTTATCAAAACAATGACCAAAACTTTAACATTAGTGACTTACAGAAAATATCTAAAGTATTTGACCCTGCAGCACCTACTTTCACAATAGCTAGCTCCTATTGTGCGTATCTTTTAAGCAAACTTGCAAGGCAGTGGTATTCCTGTTTTACAGATAGAGCAACCTAAGTCGAGAGTGTCTAAATTATTTGCCTGGGGTCACAAGGTTTGCAAGTGGCCAAACCGGAACTGGGAGAGACTTGTTCCTTTACGATGCTGCCTTGCCAGGACTAAGGGGGCCTGACTGTCCTAATTCACAGTTGGACTGAAAACAGGGCGCCAGAGAGAATGGGACTTCTAGCTCGTTGGAAATTGCAAGAGGGCCCTAAGCGTATCATCCCAGTCACATTCTAAAGCGCCCCCCTCCCGGGGAAGTGCCCACCGCTGAGCTGAGAGAGGGCCCAGGGTCCACCCATTGGGTGGGCCGCCCGCAGCCCCAGTACCCGGCATTTCACAGCATTAACTCAGCGACAGCGGAGTTAGCGATCGCGTCTGCGCTCTGGCTCCCAAGCGCAGGATGGGGAGGGGGATGGGGGGTGGGGATGGGGGGATAAGGAATGGGGATGGGGAGATGGGGTGGGGGTAGTGATGGGGGTGGGGAAGGGGGGAAGGGGGGATGGGGTAGGGGTGGGGGTGAGGATGGGCGGGGTGGGGGTGGGGATGAAGGGGCTGGGGGTGGGGCTGGGGGGGACTGGGGGGTGCTGCAAGGTACTGACAATACTAGTGCAAGGGCTTGTAGAGACTCGTCCCTCAGGGTTTATGAATTTTCGGAAATACAGGTTACTGGAAGACAGTGGGGTAACCTCCTCCCTCGGGACACTGAAGCCCGTCCGGGCCCTTCCTCTGTGTGTCCTGAGGCAGGCAGGGCCGGTTGCAGTCCCCACTGTGCGGGCCGGAGACCGCGGAGGCGGCAGGGAGTTGCAGCCAGTCCCCGAGAGGGCGGGAACGGGGCCTCGGCGGGCGTCCTCGACCTCCAGGAGGCCGCCTCCAAGTCCTCGGTCCTGTCCCGACATCTCGGGGCCGGTAAGAGGAGGAACCTGAAGGCGAGGGAGAGTGAGACGGCGAGAGAACCGCCCGGCACCTGCTCGAAGGCCCCGGTGGGCTGCGCCGCGGGAGGCCCACCCCGGCCCAGGGGCGCGGCGCGGGCGCGACGGCAGAGGGTCCCGCGCGCCCCGACGGGGCGTGCCCGGCGCGTGCCGGGGAGGAGGAAGCCCAGAGGCGGGCGACGCCCGGGAGCTCTGCCCGCTGGCGCGGCGCGAGGAGGGGGCGTGTCGGGCTCCGCGGCGGCCGGAGCGCCGGGGTCGAGGGGAGTGAAGGGCGCGTGCGCGGGCCCAGCCCCCGCCGCTCCTCCTCCCCCACCCCCCGCATTCTGAGGGCAAAAGGCTGTTTTCGGCGTGGACTTCGGCGCCTGCGGACACCTGCCATGGCGGGGGCAGAATGGGAGTCTCTGGAGCGGTGCTTGGAGAAGAACCTGCCGCCCGCAGACTTGCGGGAGGTGAAACGCCTGCTCTATGGCAAGGAGACCAGGTCGGGGACTCAGTGGCCGGGATGCGGGCGCGCCTTGGGGCCCGACAGTGCGGGGCCGGGGGAGGACGAGGACTGACGTAGGGCTCTGAGGGAGCTGTGACGAAGTGCTGAGGTGCTGGGCGGCGAGAGTAGATGCGATGACTCAGGGACGCTCAGGGCTTGCACAACCGCGAGGTGACGTTTATAAGCTACTTCTCCCCCAGTTGCCCCAACCAGAAGAGACAGATGAGTGGGGGAGTTTACTCTCTGGATCTTTCTCTGTGGCCACCCAACTCTCCTTCCCTGTTTCTAGTGACCAGCTTCCTCCCCAGAGCTGGACCTGTATTCTAAGTGGCTGTCTGGGTCTGTGCCCCCCACCAGAGCCCCAGCCATTCAACTAATTGCCCAGACCCAGCCCTGCCTTTCCCTTCTAGCGATGACAGCTTCTGATGGAGTCTTGGAGACAGAGACAGTTGAATCTGGTTGGCCAAGGAACCTTTCCCGCGGACAAGCCACAAGAATTAGTTACCACATCAGACCAGATGGTTTCACTCAGTGCAGATGGTTTTCCATTCCCAGCCAGTCTTGTGCATCACTAGAATTTTCTGAGGGCTGTGCATTACTAGACACTGGGTATATAAAGCTGGAAGACACTAGTCTTTCCACTTGTTTCTTTTCAATAGACTCACTTCTCTCAAAGCAACCAGAAGATGTAAATCATATCCTGTTGTTCCTTTGCTTAAAACTCTACAAGGTATTTCCTTGACTTTAGACTGAAATCTAATCTCTGACCCCATGCTGCGCCACACTAAAAGCCCTTCCACCTCCTTGCCCATTTGTGGATTCCCTTCATCTAGCCAGACTGAGTCCTCCCTGACCTTGTGGCAGTGACCTTGAGCAAAAGCCTAGTCAACTCACCTGAAATTCAGAGATGTTAATTAGAACAGCGATTCCCACCACCTGTTGCTGTAGAGTTTTTGCAGGGAGGCCAGACCTTAGATCCAGGAGTTTTTTTCACTGCTAGTGGATAGAAACTGTAGAACAACTGCCTATGGGCCTAGGAGTCACACAGAAGGGCTGTTCATCCAGAAGTACCCAGGACTGGGTGACTCTAGACCTCTCCAGTGGCTCCTGCTAGGGTACCGCTCTCCACGCACCTATAAAGACTCATTGTGGGCAAAGTCTCTTAGAATTGAGGCTCCCAAGTGTCTTAAAACTAGAATGCCTCAGGCTATAGTTTCTAGGGATGGAATAAGTTTGTTTTAAGGGTGATGTGGGTATGCTCTCTTGGGGGAAAAAACAGAGAGAACTCGTGGGTGTCAGGGAGAAATAAAGCACAAGAGTGTTAGGAAAAGAGAAAGCAGTTTCCCATGAAGCTAAGTAGAGCACATTCTACAGATCAGGGTAGGGACTACCTTGCAAGAGGCACTTTATATGAGCATTCAGAGTGCTCCAGGGTAGGAAGGGATTATAACAGATAATGAAATGACAGCGCCCCATCCATTGGTCAATCCTGGGGCTTGGTTCAAATATCTGAATAAGTGGCTTACCTTTTCCCTTGTTTCCTAGTCCCTTGATTCTCTTCCACTTGCCACTGAGTCCATCCAGGCTTTACCTCTAGGGTATAAACCATATCTGCTCATTCCTTGAGATGGGATAGGATTTGACTATGTACAGAATTGAAAATGGAAGATAGAAAATTGTTAATTATTTAAAAACTCTTCTCCCATTTAAACTCCTGCTCATTCCTCACAGCCTGAGTCAGACATGGTCACCTCTGTGAAGGTCTGGTAGACCTGCAGGCCCTCCTTTGGATTCGTACTACACTCCATACAAGACCACTTCTCCCAGTTACATGCAGTGCCCAACACAAAGATGATGCTTAGTAAATATTTGCTGAATGGATCAGCTAAATGGGCTTTTGCCTGTTCCAGACAGGTGAAATCTCCATTTGAGGACTCTGAATTTGAGGACTGCCAAAATGAAGAATTCATTAATTCAATGAATATTCATTGAGCATTTACATTTCTCTTGGGCAGTAGGGGTTTCTGCCTCAAGGGGCTTTCTGTCTTTTGGTGGTTGCCCTACAGTGTGAGACAAAGATGAAGAGAATTTATAGATGCAGGGCTGGGAGCAGGTCAGGAAGGCTTCCCAGGGCAACATGCTTGAGCTTCACCCTGAAGGAGCTGGAGAGTTGGCTTGGAGATAGGAGAGCTTCAGGGGCTCCAGGCCAAAGTCCAAACACCAATGGACATGTCCATCTGGGGACAGTGAGTGTAGAGTGCTATGAGAGGAGGTGGGAGTAAATGAGGGGGGTCCTGGGGGAACTGTACATTGCTGAGGCTCTGACCTGATAGTGGTCGGGGCTTTCAAAGAATTTGAAAAGGTCATGTGAATGATGAGAAAGCCTAATGCAAAGAGTGCTTGGAGATAAAGAGGTGGGAAGTTCCCAGAGGTCACAGGGAGGTCAGCAGAAGTATGGATAGCAGTGGGTGTGATGGACAAGATCAAGATCCTTCAGTCTTCTGGTCTGGGCCATCAGGTGGCTGATGCATTCATTGCAAGAGAAGCAGCCTTGGGGGAGGCTGATGAGTTGAATTGGGCATGCTGCTTAGTTTCCTGGAGCTGCTTCCATTTGGTTGCCACGAACTGAATGGCTTAAAACAAAAGAAATTCACTATTCTGAAGACTAAAAGTACAAATTTAAAATGTTGGTAGGGCCAAAACCATCCAAAAGCCTGGGGGAGAATCCTTCCTTTTTCTAGTTTCTGGCAACTTCTAGCATTCCCTGGCTTGTGGCAGTAGCACTCCAGTCTCTGCCTCCATCTTCACATGGCTTTCTTCTTTCCCTGTGCCCTCCTCTGGATGTTGCTTATGAGAACTTGTCATTGAATTTAGAGCTCACTGGGATAACCCAGTATGGTCTTATCTTGAGATCCTTAATTACATCCATAAAGATTCTTTACAAACCAAGGTCCTATTCATAGGTTCCATATACTCATGGACATATCTTTTGCGGGGCTACAGTTCAGCCCCACTATAGGGACCACTGGATGGGGGCACCTCAGGAGAGAGCTGTTTTGGAGATGGTCGTTCCAGTTGGAGGAGGCTGGGGTGCAGAGTAGGAGAAGCCCAGGTGGAAATCTGGAGAACCTTGGATATTAAAATGGCCAGAGGACACTGTCACTTTGTGGGAGACCCCAGGAGTGAGGTTGTGGGGGTGGAAGGGTCCTAGGGTGCATAGCATGGATGCTGAATGGAACAGGGATAAAGTTTCAGGTGGTCAGTAATGTCTACTAGGATGAGGGTAACAAGGAGAAGACTGGTGGGGAGGGAGCCTGGGGGATAAGGAGCTGAGGAAGGTATGGGGGTGAGGGCTCCAGGGAAGGGGAAAGGAGAGAGAGCAAGTAAAGGAACAAGAGGGACTCTCTCCCCACTTTTATGCATTTTTATGGGAGAGACTCAAACAACTTAAGTGATGGATGTGGTAGTGTGTAGGAGGTGGAGAGATGTCCAAGCCATGCAAATCGTTAAATCAGAAAGGCAAGCAGAAGAGCAGAACTTACAGAAGGACGCCATTGTGGGTATAATGCACACACAGATAGAAAAGTACTGGCAAAATACATAAACTGTCAGTAAAAGGGTCATGTCTGAGGTTCCTGACTAGGGCTTGGACTGGGATGGACAGGGGAATTCATGTTTCAATTGATTCTCTGTTTCACTGTTTGATTTTTTTTACCCTATATGCATCTGTTTCCTTTGTAACAAAGCGCTAGTTTAATTATTTAAAACACTGATGGTAAAGCGCTGTTAGAGAGGGAAAGATAAAGTTCCAAAAGTGAGAGGTTAGAGGAGACAAGAGGTGGACTCCCTCTGGCAAGTTCTGCTTAGGGGTAGGACCTAGGAGCATGTGTTAGGGCCAGAACAGGGAGTGATAGGCTCCCCTCCTTGAATCTGGAGGTAAGACCACAAGGGGTAGGGCCTTAGTAGCAGGATGAGGGGCAGAAAGCCAATTATAGAGACCAACGAAGAGCTGCATGCATCACCCCTTCCCCCTGTGTAATTGTGACTTATTTGCTGCTGTCACCCCCCTGCCCCCCAGGCTGTGGCTGATCTGTACCTCCGCTGCATCCCTGAATCAAACCTCTGGTGCTCAAGGTTGATTGAGTTCTCCAAGATGAAGCTGGACAGAATGTGGTTAAGGACTGGCTGGATAACAGGAGGGCAGGAAAACCTTGGAGGTAGTGGTCAGACAGAAGGGATGGAGGGTGCTGAGGAGAGGTAGAGCCTGAAGGAGATTCTCTGTGAGAGTGGAGCAGCCTGAATCAGCACTCCCTCAGGCCTAGGAAAATGAGTGTTTGAAGAGGACTAGAAGTTGGGGAGTTGGAGGCAGCACTTGGCATGACAGCGAGGAGGCAGGGAGGTTTAGCATCACGCAGTCACGGGACTGACGGTGATGGAACGATAGGGAGAGAGGACAGCTGTGGGCAATGGATGGGCAGAAAGGGCTGAAACTAAGGCTATCACAAAGGTGACATGACTGGATTTACAAGCCTGAGACGAGCTCTTCTACCTGACATCTTCCTCAGGATGTGCCCGCAGCTGAGGACAGGGCCTGCCAGCACCTCTCTGAAAAGGCAGTCTAGCTCCCTGACCCATGGGCCTAAGGAGAAACTGACTCATAGAGCCCTGTCCTCCCTCTCGTGTCCAGGAAGTGACTTGTCCTGGGACTGAGCCTGCCTGGGTCAGGCGGTGCTTTCTGCCTGAGAGCGGGAGGACTGACGCTGAGGCAGTCTTGGCAAGGGGAGGCAAGGTGTGGGCACTGCTGCTATTTCTAACCTAGTAAAGAAATGGAACCCTGACTAGTTGAAAAGCAGGCTGATTGTCAGGGGCGGAACCGAACTCAGAGCTGTCAGGGCCGTCACATGAAAATCGCCTGGCAGGGGGCGGCGACAGGGGGCTTGGACTGACAGGGCTGTGATTTTTAAAGAAATGTCTTTAAGAAAGTGATTTAAAGTAGGAGAGAAATATTATTATTAGATAATGACTGTCAGGTTATTTTTTGATGTGTTCTCTGGGTATTTCGTAACCGTCTTGTCCCTAGATGGTAAGCCCTTCCTGGCCAGGGGCCGTGTCCCTTGCCCCTGCCAGTTTCACCTCAACACACGGCAGTCATCAGGAGGTGTTTACTGTTTGGCCAATGGTCACTACAGAGGGAGGTTTTTATAAATAATCCACTTGCCTTTGTTAATAAACCACAAATCAGGATAAGCACTTGGGCCTTTGTTTCAGACACCTGGGTCCTGCGGAGCGCACCCAGCACCAGGCATGGAATTGTACACCCTCCTCCCCCCGCCCCATGGGAGCAGCAGCAGGACTGGGTGGTGGGGGTCACCAGAGACTTGTATCCTTAAAGGCAGAGTGCCACGGGACTCGTGTTCATGCTAACAGTTCCTGGCCTCTCCACTCAGCTGCCTCCTAAGCCTGGTTCTCAACAGCCCCGCCCTCTTATCACAGCCTGCCCCATCCCCCAGACTCAGCAGAGCCCTCTGATCCTAGTCCGCAAACATTTTTGGGAATCCTTTCCCTCCCTTCTGTGCTGACTGCTGGGACTTTAATCCCTGCACTGATTTCAGCAACTTTAGAAAAAACACATCAGCCTCTTGACAGTTGCCCTGCTCACCTCTCCCCACCTACTCCCTCCCTGCTGAAGCCTCCTTGGTGACTGTCAGATGAAGTCCAGACTCAGTATGAGTCCCTTCTCAGGCTTGTGAGGCCTCCCTCAGCCTCAGCCCGTTGACTGAGCCCACCCTCCCAGCCTGAGCTTTGGTCCCCCAGGCCCCACAACTCTGTGTGCCTTCTTGCCAGGCACTCCCACCTCCTCTATACCCCTGATAAATGGCTGGAGAGGACTGGGGGAGTTTTGAATTCAGCAGAACTCATGTAGATTGCCTGCTCTCTTCCTTGCCCCTTTAGGAAGCTGGAGCTGCCCAGCAGGGCTTTTGAAGCTGCCTTGGAAGGGGACTTCGAGGTGCAGGGATATGCCTTTGAGGCAGCGGAGGAGCAGCTGAGGCGCCCCCGGACTGTGCGTGTGGGGCTTGTTCAGAACAGGATTCCCCTCCCTGCAGATGCCCCTGTGACAAAACAGGTGCGGCCTCTTTGGACCATAAATACAAAAATTGGCTGTGGCCCTCTCTGTGTTTTGAACATGTCCACTGTCCCTGGCTGGCCATTCACTCTGGGTCTATAGCACCTCGTGGCTCTCCTGATGCTTCTGCTTTGGCCCCTGCCCTCCAGCCTGTGTCTCTGCCTCTTTTCCTTCTGCTTCTTCTTTCTCTGCCTTCCTCTCTCATTGTTCTTTCCACCTCCCACTCCTCTGCCTCTCCTGTGATTGATCCATTGTTCCATTTCTCAGTTGTGATGGCACTCTTTTAACTGGCTCACTCTCTTTCTATGGAACTCTGCCTCTCAGTCAGAAGGCTGACCACCAGCACACACTGGTTAGGACTGTCCCTGTCAGTCCCTGTGTTCTTCTGCCTTGATCCTAAGGGCAGGAACTCTTATACCCCAACATTTGTCAACTGATGATGCCTGCAGGGTTTCAGAAATATGATAGCCATTTGTTTATTACCTTACAATTAATATACATGTGACAGCAACTGTACTTCCCTAAAGAAACATGTTGTCACTGACGCAGGTGATGTGTTGAATACATTTCTTCACAGCATTCCTCCAGCTGTGCAAACTCTCAAGGCTTTCCTGTAGAGCTTTCCTCGGAATACGGCATGGTCAAGAATTAATTCTTAGGGAAACTTCAAATACTTAAGGTCAGTTGGATTTCTGCTCAGGTTCTGTATCATCTGTTCCATTGATCCTTCCTTTACTGTTGTTGAACTAAAATATTCCTGGTTCTCAGTACCCTCTTTGTCTTTAGATTAATTGTTTGTGACTCTCTCTCCTCTTATCCCATTTTGTCAGTCATCAGGGGCACAGATGCTGCTCTCATCCCCATGGCACCTAGAAACATGCTTTGCATACTTGTCAGTGCCCAGCAACTCACCCTCGAGGCCTGGTATGTGCCGTCTGAAAGGAGAGGCATCCTTGGAAGAGCTCGTGCTCTCTGGGCTTTCAGCTTGCTTTCTGTGGTCTTTCTTTGAATACACACTTCTGAATGTCTCCTGGAAACCATGACGTGTACTGCGGACATGGAGAATATGAGGTCCATTTCCTCCTGCCCTCAAGGAGCGCATGGGGTCATGGGAATGACAGCAGAGGAATGAGCCAGCACAACGGGAATGGTGCTGCTGTGGGGGTTCCATGTAGGCTGGGAGCCCAAAGGTACCTTGATACTCAAAGCTATTCTGGAGAGTTGGCCCTCTGTGGGCAACACGTGATGTGGATGATACATCATGGAAGACTGGGTCGGGGAGGAATCTGCACAGAAGCACAGCTGGAAAAGGCAAGTCATTCTATGATAAGATACCCACAGGATGACAGAGGTGGCAGGACAAAGCATCCCAGAGTCCTTGAATGAGAATGGTAGAAAGTGGACTGTGTCCAGGTGAGGCAGGAGTTAACAATGTGGGATGGTGCCCATGTGTGGTGGGCCCACTGAGTATGACCCCTTCTTCAATAAACAGCATGTGCCTTTCCACGCATTCCTCTCAGCAATCTACTAGACAGGTGGTGTTCTCTCCATTCTCCAGGTGAGGAAACAGATCCAACAAAGCAGTGTTTAAGTCTATGTGGGACTCCAGAGCCTCTGCACCTCCCTTTTATTGCAAATTTTGGACCTAATGAGAATTTGAGTATCATAGTACCCTACCCTACTATTCTTGTAGCTGGGTGGGTGGGGGCTCCACACTGGGACGAGTTCTAACAGTGGTCTCAATCAATAGAACTATGGGTTCTTATCCTTGTGTTTTTAATTGCCAGGTCTCAGCCATTCACAGACGCATAGAGGCCATTGTAGAGGTGGCTGCAATGTGTGGAGTGAACATCATTTGTTTCCAGGAAGCATGGAGTAAGTCTTTCTTGGGGTGCTTTCTCTATTGCCTTCAAACAATAGTGTATTATTTCCATATTGCCAAGATTGTCTGCTACTTTATTTTTTAAAGATCTACTTTCTTTTCTCATCCATAGAAAGCTCTTTGTCAGCAACACCAAGAACCCAGGAACTCCCGCCCACCCTCCCTCTGCCCCAGTATATTGTCTGGTTCTGTCAGTTCTTCTTCCCAAGTTATTATGAATCCATTCATTCCTTCCTCCCAACTCCTTACCACTGCCCTGGTCCAAGGGCCCGTTTTTGCTGGGTTCTTCCTTGACTTCGCTGTTCCCGGACTATTGCACCAGCTGGTCTCTCTACCAGGAATGTTTTTCCACCCCTAGCCTTGTTAACCCTGCTCAAGCTCCAGATCTAAGCCCGGAGTCACTATCCCTATTTAAAGCTCTGCTCCTGTTATAGGTTCCTGGTACCATGTGCCTTTTCTTTATTTCATTTTTATTTTTGTCAAAACAACGTGCTCATGATTTAGAGTCTACAAATTAGTCTACTAGGCCTGCTTCCAAAAAATAGCTATCCTCTTCCCCCGAGGCAAGCATCTTCAATTCTTAGCTAGTTCTGTTGGAATTTACCTTTGTGTTGCTGCTTCCTAATTTTTCAGTTTTGCATCATCTGTTGCCTTCCTGCTATGGGTGAAGTTAAGATTAGTCCTTGCCCTCCTACTGCCTCGACACATATGTACACTTCCTGACCCATCCCCCAACTATTCTTTAACAAGCCATTTTATAAACCTTGATGTCTTTTGTTTTCCTTGGAGTTTGCTTTGTTTTCTACAAACTTTCCACAAATTCTACCCCAAGCTTTCTTCCAGGTTCCTAAATCCCCTCAAGAGGTTTAGATCCATAAAGCAGCTCATCAGTTCTATCTCTTTGAAGGAATGTGTCCCAGAACATTCTGATAGTTCTGCTCTGAATTAGCTGCACCCACTGCTGGCTGCATAGCTGTCATTTTGCCTTGTCCCTTGCCTGGCCCTTGTGTTTCTCCTACCCCGCATCCTCCTCGTTCTTGCTTTAATCCCTCATTTTGATTGAGTAGATCCCTGAGGAAGAAAATATAGGAGGTAAGCTTTCAGATTTTGCATATCTAAAATGTGTCTCCTATAACTTTCTCTGTAGTTTGGTTGGGTATAGAATTGTTGATTAGAAATTATTTTCTTTCAGAAGTTTGAACTGGTAGCTCCATTGTCTTCTGGCATTGTGTTACTGACTAATCTAAAGCCATTTTGACTTATTGTTTATGACCTGCTTACTTTTCTCTGAAAGGTTATAGGATCTTCTTTTTTTTTCCTCTAATACTTTGAAATTTCATAATGATGTGCCATCATGTGTTCTACTTTAATCCATTGATTTGGGCACTCAGTGGGTTCTACCATTTTAGAAACCTGGGTTCTTCAGTACAAGGAAATTTTCTAGTATTGTTTCATTAGTGATTTTTCTCTCCCCCCTCCCTTTTTTTTCCTCTTCTTTCTTCCTGATACCCCTATGATTAAGATATTGGAATCCTGGACTGGATACCTAATTTTTTTACATGTTTCCTCCCATTTCTTATATCTATCTTTTTGTTCATTTTCTGGTAGATTTTTATCTAATTTTTTTATTCAGCCTCTATTCAGCCTTCCATTTCTATGCTTTTAATTTTAATTTACAAGGATTCTTTTGGTCAGAAAGTTAATGTTTTACCATATCCTGTTCTTATTTTATAGCTACAATAACTTCCCTTATCTCTGAATATATTAAGTAGTGTATTTTTTCTCTCTGCATCATCTCTACTTATTCCAAATTGGTCCTTTTCTCCCCTGATTATAATTTAAGATTGAAGACTAAGCAAGTTCTGAGTTTGTTGGAGAGGCTCCTCCACTGAGCTTCATGATAGGATGACCCAATTTAACTGTTTGTTAGGTAATTCCCCCAAGGTAGTATCTTTAGGTCATTCTTTTTAGGCTGCTCAGATTCTCCAGAAAACTTTCTTCTAATCTCCTGCCAAGAAAATAAGAGGACAGGGTCCAGTACAGTGGCACTTACATAATCCCTCTGTCTTTGACACTCTACTTGCCTTCTTCTGCCCTGGTTTCCATAAAGTCAGAGACCCTCTGTTTAATTCTCACTAGAGAAGGAGCCTCCAGCCTTCTGCTAGGATAGAAGGGTGCATGTCCTAACCTCTTACAGTGGAGGGGGAGTCTGGACTTCTGCTTCTTAAACAGACTTTCAACCCATCCTTCTTATTTGTCATCCCTCTCTGCTTTCTTACCTTCCAAGCTACATGGCACCTCTGTCTCCTAAGCTTTTCATGGGAATGTTGTAGAGAGTAGGGTGCTTCCTGGCCTCCTCCACTGTTGGGGAACTCAATTTTCTCATTTCCTCTAACACATCTAATGCTCCCCTACACTCTCCAGCCTCCCGTGTTTTGTTGCTACTGCCCCTCTCTCAGTGCCCCATTCTTGTAGCTTTATACTTTTGTATAAAAGTCCCTTTACTGTCATGTTGGTAGGGCTTCAGGAAAGAGCAAGGGTATGTGTCCAATCTGCCACCTGTACCCGGAAATTCATCTTGTTTTTTGTATACTTTTGTATGTGCCACACTGTGCCATACAAGAGCTGGGGTACAGGCCAGAAGTCTCGGGGGGGGGGGGGGGGTGTGTGTGAGAGGATTCACCAGAGACAGAGTGGGAAACAGAACAGGCAGATTGACCAAAGTACACTTCTGAGGGAAGCAGTGGGTGAGTCAGGAGAGGTCTGCTGTGCCATGTGGGTTGCTCCCTGGCTGGCCAGGGGATCAAACTCATGCTGCAGAGGCTGCCAACAGCTTCACAGGTTGCTTATTAATCTCTAGTACCACCAGGGAGGCCCTGTTTGTGCCACACTTTTGATTTCTCTGTCTCTTCCATTAGACTGTAGGCTCCATGAGGCAAATGGCAGGGTGTTATTTATTTTCCCATTCCAATTCCCAGCCCTATTTTTCTACATTAAAAAAAAATAATCATGGTAAAATATGCATAGCATAGTATTTCTCACTTTAGCCATTGTTGGTGTATAATCAGTGACATTAATTACATTCAGAATTGTAAAACTATCACCACTATCTATATTTAAAACTGTTTCATCATCCCCAATGAAAACTTTAAAGTTATTTAACCACAACTCTCCCTCCTCTCTCACCCCTGATATTCTCTATTCTTTCTTTCTATGGTTTTGCCTATTCTAGGTCTGTAGAATAAGAATAAGGAAGTGCATAAGTGTACTTTCTGTCCCTTTGTTCCTAGCTTCTTTAGCTTAGCATGATGTTTGCAGGATCCATCCATGTTGTTGCATGTGTTAGAATTCCATTGCTTTTTGTGGCTGTATAATATTCCATCATAGCACACTTTAAAAATTCATTCTCCACCCCTGTCTTATTTTTAGTGTCTAGGAAAATCCCTGGTACATGGAAGACACTAAAAAATATATATTTAATGGTTTCACCAACTACTTCCCTTTGTTGGATCAGGAAAACTGTTCATCCGTGAGAACCGTGGTTCCTCTACGCAGAGCTGAACACTGTGCCCTGGAAGTTGTACAGTAATACCATGTTATAATTCAGAAGCTAAATTCAGCTTCTGAAATGACTTTCAGTTCCCAAATTATAATATCCACTCCCCACTCCACTTCTAGATTGGCAGCTTCTGAGGGCAGGGCCAAGTCTGAGTCTAGGAGTTGTGATACAATGATGTGACAACTCCATTTACCCTCTCATTAGAAAACTGTACTTGGGATTTGCAACCAACCTCCCCCAACCTCCATTCCACATCCTTCTTTTGAAGATTCATTTACATTAGAGTGCTTGTATAAACAGGAAAAGAAGTCATTAAAATGGAAATGGATAAATTTGGAGAGCTTAGCAACCTGAAATAAAATCAGAAAAGGAGACTTTATTCTCCTGGGACATTTGAATTTCTCCTAATGTTCTGAAAGCTGAGAATAAATGGTCATTAAGGGACATTTTTGTTGTCAACAATTTTTTTTTTTTGGTTGTTGTTGTCATTGGCTTCCTTAAAATAGTTCATCTGTCTTTGTAGAAAGAGAGCCTGGGGAGTCTTGAGCCAAGGCCCCTGAGGCTATTGCTGGCAGAACCTGCTGCCCACTTAGCTGCCTCTGTGGGCCTCCACCCAGCAGCCAAGATGGTGGTGATGCCATCAGTGATTTCTTCACACTGACACCATTGTAGGTCCAGACTTCCTGGAACTGGAAGGAGTTAGGAAGCTTGGTTTCTCTTCCTTCCCTTTTAAAGCAGGAAGGTCATCCCTACCTCCCAGGGGCATCAAGGGCAAGCTGCTTTTTACCAGGTCTGAATACTTGCCAGGCATGTAACCCCCATTTGGTGGAAAAAGTTGACTCCAATTATTACCCCAGGCTGGCCACACACCTCATGCTTCAACCAGTTAAATCTTCCCACAAACCCTCTCTGCAATTTGTCAGTTTGGAATAAATTGCAAAGGCTCATAGGCCAATCCCCCTGAAAGGAATGGACTTATTGAGAGAAGGAAGAGGTAAAGAGTGTTTGGAATCAGTCCAAACAAGGAATTCAGTACTCCAAATCAGGAAGTAAAAGACAAACATCCACTAGAATTTGGGCAAAGGCTGCAAACACAAGTGCCTGGAAGACAAACCCAGAAAGGCCAGTAATCATGTGGCAAGGCGCTTCACCTCACTGGGGAGAAAGCAAGCACATATTTAATCATGGTGAGATACCAGTTCACAAGAACCAGTTTGGCAGGTGTTAAAAAGTGCAAGTGTCACAGCTCTGCCAAGAATGGCTGTAGAGCAGTGGAATGCCTGCCCAAAGGCCCCTGATGGCCACCCCTAGCACATCTTCCTTCCCCGCAGAGGATTTGACCCTGTTGTATGTAGTGTTCTTTGAACTATTACTAAACATATATGTACCTGTTGTTTTAGGGGGAATAAGGGGAAATAGACAAAAATTATTTTAATGACAGTTCCTACTAAGTTAGCTCTCTGGTAGCATCTCATCTAAGATCATAGGAATGAATGCATGTATCCTTGGCAAGTGCTCAGCCCACCTAGTGGTTCCCAAACCTTTGTGGGGTCATTAAGTGAATGGCTTTTCTTGTTCCTGAAGAAGTGAGTGCTCTTCCCATAGTGACATGGCAAGGGTCCCAGCACCATATTCTAGTATTTTCCCCGAGGAGTTTTAGTTCTGCTCTTGCCAACCTGCAGACTGACCAGCAGCTCAGGATCTACTGGTCAGAAACAGTTTTTGGCTGTGACTTTTGCAAAATGTTAAAATACACACACACACACACACACACACAGAGTACTAAATATATATATAACACAGAATTTAACAATTTTAATCATTTTAAGCATACATTTCTCTGGCATTAAGTACATTCACGTTATTGTGCAGCCATTGCCACATCCATCTCCAGAACTTTCTCAACTTCCTAAATGAAATTCTGTCCCTTTTAAACAAGAATTTCCCATTACCCCTCCCCTGCAGCCCCTGGCAACCACCATTCTACTTTTTGTCTCTATGAATTTGACTGCTCTTGGCACCTCATTTAAGTGGAATCATACAGCTTTTATCCTTTTGTGACTGACTTATATCACTTAGCATACTGTCCTTAAGTTTCACTCATGTTATAGTATGTGTCAGAATTTCCTTTTTATGATTGGGTAATATTCCATTGCGTGCCTACACCACATTTTGTTTCATCCACTCATGGACACTTGGGTTTCTCCCATCTTTAGGCTATTGTAAATAATGCTGCTATGAACATGGGTGTGCAAATATATGTTCAAGTCCCTGGTGCAGCTGTCTTTAAGAATATAGGACAGGCCTTTGACCCAGCCCCTTATTTTACCATGAAGTTCAGAAGGGTAGAGTATGCCTGTGTCCAGATCCAGTGAGTGAGTAGAATCCAGGTTGAGGCATTCAGGCCGTATTCTTTAGTGGAGATCCTCCACCACTGGGAGGGCTAAGGAGCCCCCTCAGAAGTCATGAGTGCTCGATGTGATTCTGACCTTTCTCCTCTTCACAGCTATGCCCTTTGCTTTCTGTACAAGAGAGAAGCTTCCGTGGACGGAATTTGCTGAGTCAGCAGAGGTCGGTCCCACCACTAGATTCTGTCAGAAGGTAGGACATTAACTACTGTTCTGGCAACAGCTGCCGGGTATGGCCCTTCGTGGAAAATGACCCATTTGGGGCTTGTTTTGCCATATTAGAATAGATAAAACTGTTTGCTACCCTTTTTAGTGTACTTTCACTTAAAATCATATTTTCAGAGCCGGAAGGGTCCTTAGTGACTTGTCCGGGTGAGGGAGCTACAACCCAGGGAGGGGGTGCCCGAGAATGACTCCCACAGAAGGTGCTGTGCCAGGGGCAGCACACTGGCAGAACAAGTACTCAGGGACCAGGTCCTTATCCAGAATTCTGCCTACTCTATTAACTGCTTGCCTGAGTTACGTAAGCTGTGCATGAGCTGTCTCATCAACGTAGAAACTGCTTTTCATTTGTCTTTATTAAAACTTCATAATACATGTTGTATGATCCCATTTATATGAAATGTCCAAAATAGGCAAATACGTAGAGGCAGAAAGCAGATTATTGGTTGCCAGGGGCTGGTGTGGAAAAGGGAAGGGGAATGGCTGCTAATGGGTATGGGATTTGCATTTAGGGTGATGGAAATTTTCTGAAATTAGATTGTGATGGTTACACAGCTCTGTGAATGTACTGAAAACCACTGAATAGCATAATTTAAAAATGAATTTTATAAATAAAATGAATCTTATGCTCTGATTACATCTTAATAAAGCTATAATCAAAAAGATCCATAAGAAGTGATGAATGGTAACATCCTTATTCCCACTTCTAACAAAAGAACTACTTTCATTTCTCCATCTCTCATTTCAGACATTAGATATATTTTTAGGGGGTTTCTGCCATGATCATGGTGATTCCATCAATCCTAAGCTGTGATTCTCAAGCTATCAGGTTGTTGATTCTGTGCTGTGGAAAGAAGGGGACTAGTTAGGAGGTGATTGCAGATGGCACCCCTGGGCCAGAACCAGAGGAAGAGAAAAGGAGGGTGGGAATGAAAACTGGTGGCAGGGCACTGCCCAGTGCACCTTTTCCTCTCCTGTCATTAAAATCAGTGATAATCATGGGCTAGTGAGAGCTGAAGACATGACCAGCTGGGCTGCCCATGCTGACAACCATCAGGTACTTGTGTTTCTATTTGAGACAAAAGGAATTAGGTATCAAGAAGCGTTTTTCCCCTTTCTTTTTCTTTTGTATAGATAAGAAGTAAAATGACTTTTTTCTCTTTTTGTTGTGATTAAAAAAACATAACTTAAAATTCATCATCTTAACCATTTGTAAGTGTACCGTTTAGTAGTGTTATATATATTCACACTGGTTTGAAACAGATCTCTAGAGCTGTTCCATATTGTAAGTTTGAAGCTCTGTACGCATTTAACAACTACATTCCAACCCCAGGTACTGGAAACCAAAGTTCTACTTTCGGTTTCTATGCATTTGAACACTTCAGATAACCTCACATAAGTAGTTTCATACAGTATTTATCTTTTGTGATTGACTAATTTCACTGAGCATAATGTCCTCAAGGTTCATCCATGTCAAGGATGACATCTTGTGTGACAAGATTTCCTTCCTTTTTAAGGTTGAAAAATATCCCATTATATGGAGAGACCACATTTTATTTTTCCATCCATCCATCAATGGTCATTTGGGTTGTTTTCATCTTTTGGCTACTGTGGATAGTGCTGCTGTGGACAGGGGTGTGCAAATATCTCTTTGAAATTCTACTTTTGCTTCTTTGGGATGCATGCCCTGAATTGGATCCTATGATTGTTTCTATTTTTAACTTTTTCAGGAATTGCCACACTATTTCCACAGCAGCTGTACCATTTTACATTCCCAGCAATAGTGTACCAGATCAATGATTATTCTTATTTAGCTGAGCTTGGACATTAGGATAGCAGGGGCATTTGGTCTTCAAAAAAACACATGCAAGTTATGAACCACAGAGGCCCTTCTGCCTTGCAAGTTTGTTAGAGTCCAGAGAGAAGATCCTATGTCTGAGAGAGGGATAGGGATGTGTGGATTTTCCCCACTGTGTACCAGGCACTGGAACTGTAATAACAAACTCCATTCCCTCAGTTTTTGTATGATAATTAAGCGCTACAAAATCTGGGGGGTGGGGCAGAGGGTGAGGAATAAAACCAAAAAATACATGCAAGTGAAAGCTCTGAACCAAGTCTAGTTATTGGGTAGGATCATTGAATTCTTCAATGAAAACTCCAGCAGTTGATTTGAAAGTAGGACTTGATATTTTTATCATTTTTCCAGTTGGCAAAGAAGCATAACATGGTGGTGGTATCGCCTATCCTGGAACGAGATGAAGAACATGGGGACATTTTGTGGAATACGGCTGTCGTGATCTCCAACTCTGGAGCCGTCCTGGGAAAGACCAGGAAAAACCATATCCCCAGAGTGGGTGATTTCAATGAGGTAAGCTGCCCCTCAGATGACCAGCCCAGCTCTTCTGCATGCAAATCTCTGTGGGCCTTTCGGTAGGGAGGCTCTGTCGGACCATGTCATCTCAGTAGTGCTGGGACACAGTAGGGCTGCACTGCTCAGGGGGCCTCCGGACAGTGCCTTGTGTCATAGGGGCAGATGGGATGCAGGTGGGACTCCCAGGTGAGTCATTTTTCACATGGTGTTTTTCTTTAATATCACCTGTATGGGCTTTCTGAAATTCTTTTTTTTTTTAAATAATCAGTATAGAAATCAAAACCAAAATAAACAGCACACACACACACATGAAATAATTCCTGCAGTCCCTCAGACTTTAAGTTCACTCACCACAGCCTAGTCCTTGTTTGAGGTCCAGAGTCCTTCCCCATAGCTCAAGAGGGGTCTTAGCCATGTCCACCTGCTGGGTGACAGTGGGGAAAGTGCATGTTGGTACACTTGTATGTTAGATGGGGCTTCATGCCTATGATCAGAGCATGTCAGGGGTGCTTTCTGAATGGTTAATTGAAGGGAGTAATCATCTGAAGGAAGGAAGTGAACTCCACCCAATACCTAAGATGTGAAATCTGAACTTGATATGCAGTAACTACAGTTGTTCAGGATGTGGTGTCCCTAGTCTCTCACCTCCCTTCTCACTTGTACTGGTCCCGGCCATTCTCAGACTGGTCAGGGAGACAAGAAAGGGTCTGCAGAGCTAGCTGAGATTCCTGGGAAGAAAGAAGAACCCTGTGTTTCTCAGAAACAGTTGGAGTAGGGGGTGGAAAGATAGGCCCCTTACCTGTTTACCCTGGGGTTAATCTTTAGCTCCCTGCAGATAGTGAAGGGCTTGTCTCAACATACCAGGATCCGTTCCAATGTCCACCATATGCACATCCTGGTTGCTGCCTGCTCCTGGCAGATTTAGAATTAATGGGAGAAGGCAAAATACTTGGGAAAAGATCAGTTTAGGGCCCTCTTACCATTCTCACTGCCATCCCTGAAAATGTTCCAGAGCCAGCACCTTGAGGGGAAGGCAGAGAGGCAAGGACGACAGGACTGGGTCCCACCTGCCTGCTCGGCACTCCCCAGGGGCATCCTTAGCATCCTGCCCAGGAAGTCTGTGGAGAAGAACATGTCAGGGTAGGAGTTCTTCAGCTGGGCAGGTCGTAGTCCCCTCAGTCTACATTCTCTTCCCTGAGCAGGGCGAGGGTTGCCATTAGAGCAGCTCGTTGGCATGTGTGTTTGGTGAGGCTGTTGACCAATTCATATCAACGTTGACCAAACCATAGCTTTCAGTTGTACCGTGATTGAAGCCTAACTGATTTATCCTTAAAATATGTGGGAAGTGAGTTTGGGAATTTTATTTTTGTTGACATGTCATGAAAGAAATTGTGGATAAGTGTTTAAACCACAGTGATTTCCCCTTGGTTTGATTTGCTGATATTGTGTCTCGGTTTTTTGTTTGTTCTCTTTGTTTTTGTCTTTGAGTGTATCAAAATTTTGGAACTTAAAACTAGTCATACCTGGGAGCGTGGCTTGGACTACTGACAGTATTTCATCTTTTCTGTCAAGTCTAAGACAAGGGAAATTTTACGCCTCAGGAGGCTTCAATGCATGGCTCTTTGTTTTTCAGTCAACTTACTACATGGAGGGGAACCTGGGCCACCCTGTGTTCCAGACTCAATTTGGGAAGATTGCAGTGAACATTTGCTACGGGCGGCACCACCCTCTCAACTGGCTGATGTATAGCATCAACGGGGCTGAGATCATCTTCAACCCCTCAGCCACCATTGGCGCTCTCAGGTAGCTCAGCAGGCAGGAGCTAGGAGCTGTCATCTTAGACCTGAGGCTGGGCTGGGGGCTTGGAGACAGGTTTGTGAACTGCAGCAGGCAGGTGCCACCACCAGATTCCCACATACCTGAGTCCTGGGGTTGCATGTTGTGTATTTAGCCAACTTTTCCCTGAAGAGAAGTACTCGAAGTGACAGTTACAATTCCCCTAAAGAGCTGCTCTACTATAAAGTATCAACCTTTGCCATGATTCTGAACACACTGATGATAACAACCTCCCAACCCCTCGGCACCCCAATTGTCAGGATTCAAAAAAGCTCAGCTTATAAAGTGGCCAGCAAATAGTAGGTGCCTGGCCCAGAGAACTTCCCTCCCAGTCCCAGCTGCTGTGTGCTCCTGGGAAGAGCATGGGGAGCAGGGCTTGAATTCCAGGGCCTACCAACATCTGGGGCACAGAGGCAGACATTTAGATAAGAGAAGGAACAAAGGAGGGAGTTGGGGCTTAGAAGGTCCTTAAGAGATCGAGTAGCTCTGCAACTTATCCTTAACCAGAAGAATGCTCTGTTCTTGTAACACCTAATATGCATTCAAGTGTTAGTCTAATCCTGAAACAGATAAAGCTTCTGATCAAGGTGGTGGGATGGGCCAGGCAGCACCAGCTCTCCTGGGAGGACCCTCTTTTAATTATAGCAACAAGCTGAGACGACCCAGCAGGACTGCACATCCGCTCGCTGCTTCTTCCCCAAAGGCTGAGCATTTGGGTGATTTCCAGTTTTGTATCATCACGAGAGCCAGAGCTCTAGGCACGTATGTGCAAATATCTTTCTCCCCAACTCACTTCCTCCAGGGCAGGATTCCTAGATCAGGAGGTGCTTACTTTCACTCTCTGTTGTCCTGGCCGTGTAGGCAGGGCAGGGCTAGTGTCCCAGTCACTCTCTGCGGGGGGTGGGGGGGGGGCTGCTGGGGAAGTTCTGCTGGACACTTTTGAGTTCCCTGCTGGTCCACATCTCTTGTCCTTGCTCTTGATTCAATTTTAGTCAAATTTCTTCTAAATGTAAGAATGTCATGTTTACTTCAACTTTTTTTTTTTTAAAGCACGGTGTCCCCTTCTCAGGAGTGGTATCCCCTCAGCATTCTGATTTGCAGAGCACATCCCTTACCACAGTAGAATGCAAACTCTTTGCTACCTTGTGTCTGCCAAAGGTCTTTGTGTCCAGGGGAAAAATCATGTCTTGGCTCTCTCCTCGGGCTCTCCTAAGGGCATCGTGGCAGCTAGATCTCCTGGCAGCGTCCTCTGGCAGTGGTAAAGTAGGGAGGTTACTGGTTATGCAGCTACCAGCCCACCTCCCAGAGCAGCCCCCTCTTGCTTCATCTCCCCACAGGAACCTGCTGAGCATCTGGGCCTGAACTGGCTATTAAGCCAAGGCAGGCAAAACTGCAGCCTCAGACTCAGCTGGCCACCTCCCTGACCCCACTTCCTCAGGCTTTTATTAGACCCAATTAAGCAAACAGAAGCACCCTGATGTAATATACACACAACTGCTTATGTCCTCAGCAGCCTATTAGGCTTATTAAAAATTATTGATTTTCCTTCCTCAGCCAACAATCATCCAACTTGTGCCTTTCAAGGGTGTGGCGAGGCTGGCAGTTAAAACAATACTGCTTTTCTTTCAGAAAGCAGTATTTTTCATGAGCACTTAAAACATTCACCCTCTGGCCAGACCATTATACTCCTAGAACTTAAGCTTGAGGAAGTGTCAAAAAGAGAAGGCTATATCTGTGAAAATGTTTCTGGCAGCATTATGTACAAGAGAAAAACTGAAAATGAGAGAAATGTCAGGGTTAGGTAAATTTCAGCCTGTGTTTTCCCTGGGTTAGGAATATGATGTAGCATCATGACAAAATCCTATAAGCAAAATAAATAAATAAATAGTTTCCAGGCTGTGGTCAGAGCTCTGCAAAATTTTTTTTACTAAGACTGTTCATGGGGTGTGGCAAAATTACAATGGATGGTTTTTTAGTATGGTGGGATTCAGGATGCACTTCTTAATATGATTAGTTGTTAGTGGAGTTGATGGTGAGTATTCCTTTATCCAAGGCTGGGCTAGTCCCTACTACCTACACAGGTGTCGGACCACAGCTTCCAGAATCTCCATCCCTTTTCTGGCAACTCCCACCCCCATATTAGATACATGCACCCACATATGCACTGTGGGGTGACACTGTGTTCTCACCCATTTTGGAATCTCATAAACACACAATAGAATCAAAGTGCTTTTTGATGAACTGAGTCAGCTTGACAAGTCATGCAGCCTGAGTGGTTTCAGATTTCTACCCCATATATGCATTTATCGGAAAGTTGTTGTCCAATCCCCTTTTCACATTTCACCTTCCCGTTGTGATTATTTTTAGGGGCTTGTGTACACCACACTGGGAATAGGACAGATGTCCCCAGGCCCCCAGCAGGCTCTCCTTGACTCTTGCACTCTCACGAACCTCTGGATTCCTTTCCCTTGCTTGTTTTGAGAGCACAAGTTTTATTGCCAGCTGTGGATTTGAGTCCTACGCAGCACACCCTCCCTAGAGAATTGCAAGAAAGATGTTTTATGGCACTCGCCCTGCAACTGTCTATTTAATTCTTGAAAATGTCAATTACGGGCGTGTTTCTGTAAAAATCCTTTCTTAAAAGTTTTGTCAGCTTGGCTTAGCAGCTGGGGTGGAGGGAAGCAGCAAAATGAGTCCCCTCAATCAAGCCTGTGATTTTTTTTTTTTCCAGACTCGTGAATCCTCCTGAGAATTAGGCTTGTGACAAGCACCCACCCCCTCCACCTACTCCCTGGTTTAAACCAGGTGCATGCTGACAGGAAGGAAGATTCCAGGACATTTTGCTCCCAGTCACTCAGTGTTTCTAAGTGGGCATTATGCCTGTCAATCCAGAATCTTAATGATGTTGTTCCTTAGACAAGAGATAGTTAGTGACAAGAAAACCCACTGAATTCCATGGCACAATTTAGTTGGTGGGCTGGAAAAGGACAGAGTCTCCAATTGGGGTGAGATCCCCCCCCCACATCCTCCCTTTCGTAGTGCTGGACTGAGAAAGGCTCATTGTTCAGCTTTGCCTGAGGGGTGCCCCCTTCCTAGACCAGTGAGAGGACCAAGGATCCTCTGTAGAGACTCAAGATTCAGAAGAGGAAAATAGGAAGGGGCTGGGGAACCAGGACAAGCTCAGGAGAGGTGACCACTGCAGAGGAATCTGTTTTCCCCCAATATCTAAATTCCTTTCAGGCTTATTTTCTTTACACAACCTGAACCTCACCTTATGAAAACGGTTTTGTCAAGGCAACACAGCAGAGTAGCAATGGGGCAGGCAGTGCCTCCGCCGGGCCACGAGCAAGCCTCCAACCCTCGGCTCCCTCCTGCCTTTTACCTGGTAAGGCTCTGCTTACCAAGCCAGGCAGAGGGAAGGAGGTGAGTATGGAGCTCCTGCCACGCAGGCCCCCTCTAGAAGCTTCAACAGAATGTTAATTCATTCTTCGCAATCTCCCTTGAGGAAGTTTCAGAAAAGGAAACTTGAGTCTCAGCAAGGATCTGATCCAGTACTGTTATGTCTGCAGCAGGCCTCCCCAATAGTCTGCTTGGGTTTTAGCATGAACAGGTTGAGGGGTTGGGGTTACCTCTGGACATGAGTCTCCTTGACCACCCCCAGTGACGGCCTGAGAAGGCTGTAGCTGGGTGAAGCCTCCACGGAGTTTGGCTGCAGAATCAGCAACCAGGTTCCTCCCCTTCCTCTCTCACAGCGAGTCCCTGTGGCCTATTGAAGCCAGAAACGCAGCCATTGCCAATCACTGCTTCACCTGTGCCATCAACCGCGTGGGGGAGGTAAGTCCCAGCAATCCCGCCAGTTCTTTGGCTTGGTCACCAGGAGTGCTGGGGAAGAGAAAGACAGATAAGCTGCTGCCAGACCTGCCTGCAGAGAGGGGGCTGGCCCCTTAGACCAGTAGTGGCCAGAGGGGAAATCTTTGGGAGGGACTTGGTATCCCTCCTCTCCTTACTCTCTCTGCATGCCTCGAAGTTGCAGAAAGGGAGAAACTGGCTTGGCCTGTTGCTTTTGAAGATATCACTATGTCCTTCCTCTGTTTCTGTTTTCAGCTGAAACCATGTTGAATAGCTCTCACGCTGTTACTACCAAGTATCCAGTTTCTTATTTCTCCCACTTCTCCCTATGGATCCCATGCACTGAACACATCTGACCACCACATACCATGTGTTTATTATGTAATAATCCTCTTCCCCATACTTATTAAGGAGATATCAAACTCTAATAGGAGCATCTCATCAGTCTGAGATAGCCTAATTTCTGGCAACATAAAGAGACTCAGTGTTTTAGTTAGCCTGTGTAACTCCATTTCAGCTTGATGTGTGCTTTTCATGAAGCTTTGGGGAAAACATTGAAAATTGTGTGGACACCCCCTCACCTCCTTCACAGATCTGGGGCTGGGACTTAATTCCTCTGGCAGGCACACCTTAGCCTTCCACAGCCCTCAGAACCACTCCATGCCCAAAGTCCATGCCCAGTAGATAATAAACTCCCCAGCAGCAGTCTGGGTCTTTACCTTGCTTGTCAAGATTCCCTGCTGGTCTGGTCACCTGCATTTGCTCATTGCTGGGTGCCCAGCAGGGACGTTTAATAAGTACTTGCTGATAGCCCATTGGTACAGGCCTCTGTATTGCTTAACTATTAGTATTTCTTACTAAGCCACCTCAGCCTAACTTTGTCATGAGCAGAGTGGTAGTGCCACCTATAGGTGTATCTTACCTTGTTTTATTTCACAGGAGCTCTTCCCAAATGAGTTTACCTCTGGAGATGGGAACAAAGGTACGTTCCATGAATTTTTGTAGTGTTGCACCTGAGGAGAGTCCTCACCACTCCCATCTCCATCAGCCTCCTCCAGGCGGGGGCTGCCCCATGTACCATTGGGGTTGACTTCTCTCTGCTTTGTTGTCCACAGTGTGGGAGCCTGACTATGGCCGAACCATGGACAGGCAGTCCTGGGCTTGTGGCCACCTCGTTCCCTGATGGGGATGGAACAGGGATTGGATTGCATTCCACCCTTCCCTGGGGACCTGTGTGAAGATGGGCTGAGAAGACATGGGAGAGTCCTTTGTGTGCTCCCTGAAAGAGGGGGCTGCTTCATCCACCCTGCAGACCTCCCTCACTCCCTCCCTCCTTTCCTTTGTCCTTGTCTACCTCCATGCAGCTATTTAAAGAAAGCCAGACACCAGCATAGATTACCTCGGGTTCCTAGAATCCACAGCTTGTTTTCATGTGATGGCAGGTACTGCCTCACCCCTGCTATGAGTTCCCCACTGCTGGTCCCACTCTCTGGTCCAGAATGTGGGAGAGAGGGACAAGGAGATTTCTGAATGAGCTCAGGGTACCTGCTTCATCCAAGCCCCCGCTTGGCCCAGCACTGCACTCACCTGCTCCTTGTACACCTTTGGGGTGGCTTCTCAAGTTAGCCCCACTTTCCAAGAGGGGCAGAAGGGTGAAAGTGATAAGCTGGAAAGGCTAGAGAGGACAGAACCCCCCAATTCACTGTGTGGGGCCACCCCAAGAAGCAGGTCACACAGGAAGCCCCCCAGGAGCCATGTGACTCTTGGGCTGTGAGTAACTGATGTCGGGAGCAAAGAGCCAAAACACCTGTAGAGGGGTGACCTGTAGAAATATCTGCAGGGCCCGAGGCAAGGACTGTGAAGATGACTTGCAGCAATTTGCTGGGCCTTCAGCCTGAAGAGAGACACAAATCCTTGGGGCTTCAGCATTGGGCAGATGCTGGGGAGAATGGCATGGACCTTTTGTTCGGGGTGTCCCTCAAGATTCCTGGCTCTGTCTTCACAAGCTGATGGTGCTTTCCTTTGCTCCTCCAAAGCTCACCAAGACTTCGGCTACTTTTACGGCTCAAGCTATGTAGCAGCTCCTGACAGCAGCCGCACTCCTGGGCTCCCCCGCAATAGGGACGGGCTGCTCGTTGCAGAACTCAACCTCAACCTCTGCCGACAGATGAATGACATCTGGAACTTCAAGGTGGGCCTGAGTCCTCTGCTGTTGCCCTGTTCCTCCACAGGCTCCCTTCCCTACACCCCGGACTGGAACCACCTCTGTTGCTTTGCCCTCTAGCCAGCCCATTCATGTGCAGCTCTGAGCTGAGATGAGCAGAGGTCCAGGTCTGTGCCTCTCTCAGGCTTCAACCTTCCCAGCCAGGATGGAGCCTCCGGGCAAATGCTGCCCAGACAGCTGGTCTCACTTCTCATCTGATTTAGATGCAGAGTGCCTTCTACCAAATTAATCTCAATTTCATTTGTCCAGAGAATAGAATAGATTGACTTTTCTAATTCTTTTTGCCTTTCCAGGCATTTACACTTATCACAAGATAAATTCGCATGTTTGGTTCTGCCTGTGGCCAGACCCCACTGTCTAGGCCTTGATGAGGAGGGGAAATAGAATTGCTGAATGGAATCTAGGCCTACCTCTGCCATGACCTTGCTCCCTAACCTCAAGCAAGTCCTCCCTGCCCCAGTCCTTAGTACCATTGACCCTTGAACAACGTGGGGCTTGGGGCACCGAACCCTTCCACACACATTCCTGCAGGTGAAAAATCCACATAGAAGTTGGTGTTGTTTTGTTTTGTTTTGTTTTTTTCATTTTTACTGAAGAGAGGAACTGCTCACACTGTGATCAGTTTCACACAGCTTTTTAAGTGGATGAGGTGATACTGAGTTCACCACAAGAGCAGCAGGAGGTGGTACAAAGTCATGCATGACAGTGGCCACAAAGTCATGCACAGTATGCATGAGTTTATTTTACACAGTTATGATTTAATACTGCAGCTATACATTTGTATGCTTCTCTCAACTGTGAAAAGCGCCATGAATGGTCTGTGTGTGCACAAATTTTGATAAATTTTGACTTTATAACAATTTGTATATATTTTATGGTAGTAAATGATAACTACTGTCTACATATATTTTATGCACTCATCACATATCTTTTCTTTATTTTTTTTTATATTCCTAGGCTATATGGTTCATCTGTGGGTTTTTTCAAGTTGTCAGAAATCTTAAAAAATATTTCCAATTATTGAAAAAAAATCCGAATGGACCCACACAGTTGAAACCCATGTTGCTCAAAGGACTACTGTACTCCCACTTATAAAACAAGAGACTTACCTTGAAGGCCGCAAGTGGCCTTTGAGCCTTACTACCTGTGACACCAGGGTTCATGAGAGGAGTGTGTGTCCACCCTCCTGGAATGGGGTGGTGGCAGCCATGGCCTGGTTTTCTCCTGAATATGGCATCTCATCATGGATGCAGACAGTTTGCTGTGTTAGTGTTGGGCAGTATTTCCTCAAATTTAGCACCCAATTTTAAGTAAATCATATATGCAAATGAATGTCACATTGTCGAGACTGAGTGACTCTGCCCACATGTCTGGGAGGAACCAGATCCAGCCAGAGATGCAGTCCAGGCCCGGCTTCCTCATTTACCTGAGGGTCCTTGGGCATGTACCCTGAGTCTCAGCCTACCTCTGCTTCTCCTAGGAAGCTCAGATTAATGCAAAGTTCTGTGCAAATTAGAAGTAGAAACCAAGAAACAGAATAGTTTCCCATTAGAAACTTTTAAAAAGTAGAAACCTTCCCAGTCTGTGCTGCGTAATCTGCATGAGTCCTAGTGAAATCTGGGCAGAAGGAAGAGGGTTGGGGGGATGGGGAAGAATACTGGAGTCTAAGTACCCAGTGAGGTGGGCTGTCTAGCCCTGTGCCCTCCCTCTCCCAGCCTACATCTCTGTGGAGATGCCTTGTGGGATGAATCCCTAGACTCAGATCCAGGAGCCCAGGGTGCAAATCCTGACCAACTCCATTCCTGGCTGGTGACCTGGAGCAGGCTGGGCTGTGGGCTGCTCTCCTAGGGCTCTGTAGGTCTGCAGGACAGGCCTTCTCCCTCCTATCCCAGGTGAGACACACCTTCTAGATGGACAGATCACCGGAGATCCTCCAGGAGGAGGGACCAGTGTGTGTGAGTCACCTGTGATCATTGCCAGGAGTCACCGGGTCACGGGGATTATTTCTGTATGACCTGCCTTCCTGAAGCATTTCTGTCCCATGGCTGCCCTCTAGTGTCGAGAGGTGGTGGTGAGTAAATGGGAAGTGTTTATAAAGGAGGAACCTCTGACTGACTTGTATTTTACTTTCAGATGACAGGCAGATATGAGATGTACGCAAGGGAGCTCGCCGAAGCTGTTAAACCAAACTACAATCCCAATATCGTGAAAGAGTAGCTGACCTTCAGTCCCTTCCCACTAAGGGAGGCACACGTACCCAGCAGATGAACAAGTGCAACAAACTTGACAAATCCAAGCTCCCCCTAATGGTGCCCTGATAATCTTGCTGTCCTGATTGATTTAAACATGTCCAGGCAGAAAGGGTAGAATGATGAGTGACTGCTTGGTGGGTATAAAATGCTCTTCTGGGCTTGCATAGAAGTGATGGTTCTCCAAACACAGTGAACATACCAAATGCTACTGAACTGTATACTTTAAAATGATTGCTTTCATTGTTATGTAAATTTTAGTTAATAGGGAAGGTTAATTTGTAGTTAGACACATGGGGTACCCCAGTTCTGAGGCTCTCCACTTGCCTATGGAGACTGTCAGATTTGAGGGTCAGCATAAGAGTATGTGTTGGTATGAGAGGTGAGACTCGCCCAGCGTTAGTGCACCTGCCAGATGGCTGTGGAGGGAGGTGGCCATCTGTGTTTACTTGCTAGGCCATGGTCTGCAGTTATTCCATCAAACACTAGTCTGGGTGTTGCTGTAAAGGTATTTTATAGGTTTGACTGTAAGTCCACACACCCAGTTAACTAAGCAAGTGAGATTATCCCAGATTATCCAGATAGGCCTGATTTAATCAACTTAAAGTCTTTAAGAGCAGGGCTGAGGCTTCCTTATGAAGAAGAAATTTCTGCCTGTGGACAGTGGCTTCCACCCTTGCCTGAGGCTTCTAGTTTTCCATTCCTTGACTCCCTGCCTTACAGATTTCAGACTTGTCTTTCCAGCTTCCACAATCACTTAAATGTTTATTCTTTACAATAAATCTCTTAATATATATCCAACTGGTTTTACTTCTGATTGGACCCTGACTGATACAGATTCTGGTACCAGAAGTGGATCTAAAGGAACAGAATCTTAAGGATGAGTTTTCTGCATTGGTTCTAGGTTTTTCTGGAATCTTCTCTAATTTCATTGGATTTAATCACATAGGAGGGCCTCTCTGGTGGTGCAAGGGGTTAAGCACCGTACTATGGGGCAGTCTGCAGCCTCTGCAGTGCAAGTTCAATCCCCAGCTGGCCAGGGAGAAACCCACATGGCGAGCAGACCTCTCCTCTCTCCCCCATTGCTCCCCTTGGCAGTGTATTTCGGTCGGTCTGCCTGTTCTTTTCCCCACTCTGTCTCTGGTGGATCCTCTCACCCCTGCATCTCTGGCCTGTACCCCAGCTCTTGTATGCATAAATAAATAAATCTTTAAAAAAAAACAAAGTTTTTTAATAAATAAATAAATAATCACATAGGACTCTTTCCAGTGGTAAAGAAGCATATGGTAGTCTGTAACATGATGTAGCAATAGAGGTTTATATATAAGGCAGACCATCAGCCTGTGCCTGAGTTCCAGGCTGCCCCTCCTGGCAGTCTGCCCTATTTATGGATTTTGTAATGCAATTCCTTGCACTAAACTTACCTATCTATAGCCCATGTGTATGTGTATAGATATATATACACATATATATACATATTTTCTGCCATAATCATATTACAAATGCATATATGTCCCTCTATTAAAATTAAATATATGTAAAATATATATGGCTGTGTGTATAATATGTATGGCTACATACATACGCGTTTCTCCCCTCATTCTGCTTCTCTGGTTGAGGCCTGCCTGACGTGGCAGGTTACTCACTTCTCTGCACCTTGGTTTGCACATCTGTAAAGTGAGACCATATCCTTGTCTTGCTTTATGTCACAGGACACTAGGGAAAGACAGATTAGATGGACCAGAGAACCCCTTGGCCGTGTGAGTTCAGTGCCTGCCCCTTGCACCACACAGCAAGAGTGCAACTTGCCAAGTCTCAAACCTCCACACTGACCAGTAGGTGGGAATGAGGTCTTTATTGTCCCCAGTCAGAAAAGCAGCCCCGTTCCTTCACTGGTACAGCAGCTGAAATGATTGGATAGCCCGTGCCAGGGCTAAGATGCTCCTGGACAGCAACCGGGGGTAAGAAAGCTGGATGGAGCAATCTGACCACAACTCTGTATTAACCCCCTTACTCTCTTTCAACAGGCTTTTCAGTTCACCTAATAATCCTTTATACCTTACTTTTTCATCCAGCCCTGCAGACATGGTGAGCTTTTCTGTTTGGCCATCAGTATCCAAAACCTTTCTAAAAGGAGGGTATAGAGACCAACTTAGGTCATCAGTTGGTACATTTATAAAATAAGCTCTAATATACCAGAAATAATTTGATTATCCATACTTCTCACAGCATGTCGGTCAGGCTCATTTTAGAGCAGGCAGGTCCTCTACAAATGGTGTGATCTGAAGATTTCACTCATGTCTGGACCGTGCAGATGCTCAGCAAGTGTTTGTTGAATAACCCTCAGGTAGAATTTGTTGTTTCAAAGTGATCATTGCTGATGCCACAGGAGAGAACTTAAGGGTTCAGTGTACAGGCTCTATGGCCCATTGGCTCCTGTGCAGTCTTGGGTGAAGCCTTTTGACCCCTCAGGCGTTACGTTTTCCCACCTCTAAGATTAGAGGTGGCTGTGTTTGACATTCTGCAGTTCTACAAGCAGCATTCCTGCCAAGCCATGGTGTCACTGTTAGAATCTAGGGGAGAGGCATGGCGGGCAGGGAGGATGGCAAAACCACAGTACGCCCAACAGAAAGAAAAGGTGAAGGCATTCTCAAGGATAGACCAGGTTAGGCCACAAAACAAGTCTTACTAAATTGTAAAAGACTGAAATCATACAAAGTATCAGGATACAAAGTCAATATACAAAAATCAGTTGCATTTCTATACAGGAACAATGAACAATTTGAAAAAGAAATTAAGAAAGCAATTCTTAGCCCCTGGTGGCCTAGGGGTTAATTCTCAGCACTATCACCACTACAGCCTGAATTTGATCCCAGGCAGGGAGTTAACCCGCATATGGCACAGCAGACCTCTCCTGTCTCACCCGCTGCTCCCCTCAGCAGTGTATTTCAGTAAAATCTGCTGTTCTGCTCCCCACTCTGTCTCTGGTGAATCCTCTCACCCCCACTCTGGCCTATACCCCAGTTCTTCTATGCAATAAACAAATCTTTTTTTAAAGGTGACATAAGAAAGCACAATTCTTTTTATTTTTTTAATTATATTTTTATATTCCCTATACAATTGCAACCCTCTTGTTATGACCCCATTTCCTCCTTTCCCCACCCCCCACCATAGAGTGTCTCTGGTTCATAGTTGTTTGTTGATTTTGATATTTTCTTTCTTATAGTTATTCTTATTCCTGGTCCCTTATTTAAGTTTTCTAGATTCCTGCTAGGAGTGAGACCATCTGGTATTTTTCTTTTTCTTTCTGGCTTATTTTGCTGAGCATGATCCCTTCCAGCGCCATCCATGTTGCTGCAAATTGCATGTGTTTATCTTTTTTGAATGCTGAGTAATATTCCATGGTGTATATGTACCACATCTTCTTGATCCAGTCATCTATTTTTGCCCATTTTTTGACTACTACATCACACCTTGCACAAAAACCAACTCAAAATGAATTAAAGAACTAGACATAAGAACTGAAACCAAAGCTTAGCTATTGTAAACAGTGCTGCTATAAACATAGGGGTGCAGGTGCTCTTTTGAATTAATATTTCTGTGTCCTTTGGGTAAATACCTAGGAGTGGAATTGCTGGATCAAATGGAAGCTCTATCTTTAGTAGGTTGAGGAATCTCCACACAGCTTTCCATAGTGGTTGGACCTTTTTGCACTCCCACCAGCAGTGCAGGAGAGTTCCTTTTTCTCCACACTGGATTTTTTTGGGTGCAGTGTCTTATAGGTGTCTGTTAAGTCCATGAGTTCTATGTCTTTATTTAGGGCTCTAGTGTCTTTATTTTTTGTCTCTTTGATGTGAACTTTGGTGAGAGTGGGGTGTTGAAGTCTCCCACTCTACATGTATTTTCTTTAATATCTGTTTTCAGAGCTGATAATAATTGTCTAATATATTTTGGTGCCTCTTCATTTGGTGAGTATATGTTGATGAGTGTTATATCTTCCTGATGTATTGTCCCCTTGATCATAACGTAGTGTCCATGTATGTCTCTTTTTACTTTTTTTAATTTGAAGTCTATTTCATCTGATATAAGTATGGCTGTTCCTGCCTTCTTTTTTGGTCCATTTGAAGCACAATTCTCTTTAAAAAATAAAAAGAAAATAATTCTATTTACAATAGTATCAGAAAGAATAAAATACTTAGGCACAGTGAGAACTACAAAACATTGCTGAAAGAAATTAAAGATATAAATAAATGGAAAGACAGTCCATGTTGATGGATTGGACGACTTAATATCTTTAATTATCAATATTCCCTAAGCAATTTACAGATTAATTGCAATCCCCAGCAAAATCCCAATGATGTTTTTGCAGAAACAGAAAATTCTTGCTAAAATTCATATGGAACCTCAATCAGCCCTCAAACAATTGAAAAGGAACAAATCACTTCCTGATTTCAAAATTTAATATAAAGCTATAGTAATAGGGGCCTCCCTGTTGGCACAAGGGGTTAAGTCCCAGCAAGATCAAGTTATCACCAGCCACTATGGCATGAGTTTGATCCCAGTCAGAGAGCTAACCCACATGGTGCAGCAGACCTCTCCTGTCTCACCAGTTGCTCCCCTCAGCAGTGTATTTCAGTAGATATGACTGTTCCACTCTGTCGGTGAATTCTCTCACCCCCCCGCACCTGTGGCCTAGACCCCAGTTCTTATACGCATAAATAAATAAATCTTTAAAAAAAACTATGGAAAGTCTAGGATAATATCCTATTTACAAGTTGACAAATTAGCCTACTTCAGTTTCACAAACACTGGCAGAATGCAGAACATTCCTGGGTCAGAGACAAAAGACAGTTTGTTACAGCTGTAGCAGTAACCAGAGAAACCAGCATTAGGAGGTTTGCATAGGAGTTTTCTTGTAGCAATTCCCAAGCCCCAATTCCTACATAGCAATGCAAAAAGGGCCAAGTGACTCCCACCAACTCAGTGAATTACATTAAGGAGAGGAAGAGAAAAAAGAGAGACGAGAGCTTAAGGGACTTGAATCTTTTATACTGGGAAATAAGTATGCTGACCCACCGCACCAAAAGCAGACATTCTGTCAATCCACCAAGGTCATAAGAAAGCTTTGCTTCAGAGAGAGATTTCTCTCTGTCTTTCAAAACTACTACCTCTACAAACATCTTTGAAAAGATAGTCCAGAACAAAGCATCAATAGTTTTATCTCTCAAATCATGCTGAAATGCATGAGATGTGGGAACCCTACAACAATAACTTATTATTTCCATCCCTCATTTCACATCATCTTGACTTCTGGCAATTTCCCCATGAGTTACTCTGATTCCATCAGTTACTCTTATTAATCTGACCAACAGGGCTGACCCAGGTCAGTTCAAATTGTCACATAGCATTCATTAATTTCATCCATAGGGCTTCCAGGGGCAGAATCAGCCCAATCTGCACAATAGCTACAGTCCTGTTTACCAGGGTTCTTGACCCAATAGGTTGAATAAATCCCCGAAGCCATCAAGGTCTATCTTAGAAAACCAGCAACTTTCTCAAATATAGACCTTTAAATTACTTGACCTAGATTTTTAATCCAGGTATAGCAGGATATACTAGATGTTGACAATTTCCACCTTAGCAAGTTTGCATCTATGCCAACCCTGTCCGGTGAATTGACACTGACCTGAATGATTTGCAGGCCACTGATCACTTCAGATATAGTCAGGGAGAGACAAATATTGCATCACTTACTACAATCTAAGGTGACTCTTACTGAGGTGCTGCAATTGATGCTCCAAAATTGGCAAGTCTCATTCCAGTAGCTAAACATTATCTTTTTTTTTCCATTTTCTGTTTCTCACACCTAAACCTTTTCTTTGCAAGGATCAGGTGCTAGAGGAACAGGACATTTTAATAAAATGCAGAGACCCTTATCTTCCCCACTTTGTCTTGCATGTGCCACCACAGGGAGCTATGTGCTCACACAAGTGTCCATTGTCCTTGTGATCTAAGACCATGTCAATCCAACTAGAAAATCCAAGTGACTAAATCAATCAAATTCTAATCTGTAGGCCCCCTTTCAGCTGGGCTGCCACCTAGAAGCTGTGCCCATCAGGCTGGCCTGGGGTTGTTCTTAGGTGGAAGAAAGAAGCAACATTGCCCAGGAATAGTCATGTTAACTGACTATGAACTTGAGCCCTTATGACCTTTTTTTTTTTTTTAAAGATTTATTTTTTTATGCACACAAGAACTGGGGTATAAGCCAGAGATGCAGTGGTTGGGGTGTATGTGAGAGAGGATTCACCAGAGACAGAATGGGGAACAGAACAGGTGGATCTGCTGAAATACACTGCTGAGGGGAGAAGTGGGTGAAACAGGAGAGGTCTGCTGTGCCATGTGGGTCACCTTCCTGGCCAGGGATGGAACTTGTGCTGCAGTGACTGCTGACAGCTTGACAGCACTATCTTTAACCCCTGC